GTGCACAGAATGCGTCTTTCCTGGGAGCTACCTCCTCGTCCTCTACCCTCCTGCACTGAAGTGCCACATTCCCAGGGTTGGTCCTTGTGCAGTTTGATGGGAACTGTTGAACAAGGGTTTTGTTGGGGTTTTTTGGCTCCTGCAGGCGGTGGCCTGTTTCCGCCTACACCCAGGCCCTTGCTGGACCTGCCCTGCTTTCTGTATCACAGCTGGGGAAGGCTCAGGGCTTTCTCACCGAGATCAGTGCCTCCACATCTCCTTGGTACAGGAGTGTGACATGCCAGTGAGGCGGGTTAAACAGGGGTGCTGATTTGTGCCTGCGAACCTTGAGCAATGTCTTCCCGGTCATTCGTCCTCCAGCAGGGGTGGGGAACGTCCTGGAAGGCCCGAGAAGCCATTTGTCTGGCTCTGCTAAGGCATCCACAGGTGGGACTCGAAATTCAGTCAGACTCCAGCAGTCCAAGTTTTGAGTTGATATTTTTGTATGGCCCACAAATGATGTTATAAATATCCAGGCCGGCACCGCAGCTCACTAGGCTAATCCTCCGCCTTGCGGCGCCGGCACACCGGGTTCTAGTCCCGGTCGGGGCGCCGGGTTCTGTCCCGGTTGCCCCTCTTCCAGGCCAGCTCTCTGCTGTGGCCAGGGAGTGCAGTGGAGGATGGCCCAAGTGCTTGGGCCCTGCACCCCATGGGAGACCAGGAGAGGCACCTGGCTCCTGCCATCAGATCAGCGCGGTGCGCCGGCCGCAGCGCGCGGGCCGCGGCGGCCATTGGAGGGTGAACCAACGGCAAAAGGAAGACCATTCTCTCTCTGTCTCTCTCTCTCACTGTCCACTCTGCCTGTCAAAAAATAAATTAAAAAAATAAATAAATAAATATCCAGTGAACTTTGGCACAAAAAAAGGTTGCCACCCCAATAGAGGCTAGGAGCTTGCCTTGGCACTGCTTTCCCAGTGTCACTGGGGAAGGATCTCCAGGGAACTGTTGCTACCTCTTGTTGTCCAGATTCCCCCAGCCGCCTGGAAGCCAGCCTGCAGCTCCTTCAAGGGATGTGTCATGATCACCTCCCCGTGCCACCCAGCACCCGCCCTCAGACCAGGGAGGGTGACTTGTCTCCCACCTGGGAAACAAGAAAACACCCAGCACGTATTTCTAGTGGAAGAATGAGGTGATGGACTTTCTACCATATTTAAAATATAGGGAAGTATAGGCGCGTAAACCAACTGCCTCTGCCCTCAACTAAGAGAATACTGTTCCCTGCAGGGTGTCATCCTGCTCCCCGAGGAAGCCTTGAGTTCCAAATACACGTTGTTGGTTTTTCCTTCTTTTGGCTGTCAGCACTGGCCATCTGACAGAGCCCTCAGGCTTGCTGTTGTCTCCTGTTGACAAATGCACCCCCCGGGCCACTGCCAGTGAGACGCAGGGCCAGCCATGCTGCTGGGCTGCTCTCACGCTTGTTCTCCAGTTGCAGCCTCTGCAGCCTGGGCAGAATCCTACCCGTGAGGCGGCTCTTAACGGTCGACACCCAGGATTGCCTTTTCAGTGGTTATCAGTTGATGGTGTACGTTTTTCTTATGTAAACACGTGTACATTTTGGGCAGGTTCTTGTCAGCCTGGGTAGTGGTAGCTGCATGTTGATCTGAAGACTACAAAGAAGGAATGATGAGTGAGTGTCTCTCTGCATCTCTTTCTCTTTCTATCTAACTCTCTCTCTCTAACTCTGCCTTTCAAATAAATCTTTAAAAATAAAATAGAGGGGCCAGCACTGTGGCGTAGTGGGCTAAGCCTCTGCCTGCAGTGCCAGCATCCCATGTGGACACTGGCTCATGTCCCAGCTGCTGCTCTTCCCATCCAGCTCCCTCCATGGTCTGGGAAAGCAGTAGAAGATGGCCCAAGTGCTAGGACCCCTGCACTGGTGTGGGAGACCTGGAAGAAGCTCCTGGCTTAGGATCGGTGCAGCTCCGACCATTGTGGCCATTTGGGGAGTGAACCAGTGGATGAAGAACTTTTTCTGTCTCTCCTTCTGTCTTTCTGTAACTCTACCTCTCAAATAAATAAATAAAATCTTAAAAATAAAATGAATAAATGGGCTGTCTGTGGTGCTGGCATCCCATATGGGTGCCAGTTCAAGTCCTGACTGCTCCACTTCAGATCCAGCTCCCTGCTAATGTGCCAGAGAAAGCAACAGAAGATGCCCCAAATGCTTGCACTCCTGCACCCACGTGGTAACCTGAATGAAACTCCAGGCTCCTGGCTTCAGCCTGGCCCAGCCCTGAAAGTCATTGCCATTTGAGAAGTGAACCAGTGGGTAGAAGCTCGCTCTCTCTCTCTCTCTCTCTCTCTCTCTCTGTGACTCTGCCTTTCAAATAGATAAATAAATCTTTAGAAATAGAAAGGAGAGGGCCGGTGCCGCGGCTCACTAGGCTAATCCTCCGCCTGTGGCACCGGCACACCGGGTTCTAGTCCCAGTCAAGGCACTGGATTCTGTCCCGGTTGCCCCTCTTCCAGGCCAGCTCTCTGCTGTGGCCAGGGAGTGCAGTGGAGGATGGCCCAGGTGCTTGGGCCCTGCACCCCATGGGAGACCAGGATAAGTACCTGGCTCCTGCCTTCAGATCAGCGCGGTGTGCCAGCCGCAGCATACTGGCTGCGGTGGCCAATGGAGGGTGAACCAACGGAAAAGGAAAACCTTTCTCTCTGTCTCTCTCTCCCACTGTCCACTCTGCCTGTCAAAAAGAAAAGAAAAGAAAAGAAAAGGAGAGGAGAGGAGAGCTCAGCTCCTCGAGATCACTTTTCACAGTAGTTTGTAGCTCTAGAGAACTGACTGGAAAACTAAAGAGGAGTAGCCTGCAGTGTGGCCATGTGGGAAGGGTCGCTGCACAGATGCGATCCAGGTCGGAGACTGGGCAGTTCCTGCAATCGTTTTAAGACCTGGAACTGGAAGCCATTATGCTTAGTGAAATAACCAGTCCCAGAGAGCAAATGTCATGTGTTCTCTGTATGTAGTAGTTAATATGGAATACAAAAAAGTGTGTGGGAACAAAACAGACATCTTGTGATTTGATTGTTGTTTTTAGCCCTTGTTTTTGCTTCTGTGGAGCTGTGATCTTTGTGCTTTTTACTTACTGAATGTTTTGTTTAGTGGTGCATTAATCCTGTGATTATAGAGTGCACTGAAATTAAGCTTTTGCAAAAATTCAAAAAAAAAAAAAAAGAGCTGGAAGTGGTGGTGCCGGAGTTGTGGCACAGTGGGTTGAGCTGGCATTTGCAGTGCTGGTGTTCCATATTAGAGCACTGGCCCAGTCCCAGCTGTTGAATCCATCTGGGGAGCGAACCAGCGGATGGAAGTCCCCGCTCTTCCTCGCTCTCTGCCTTTCAAGTAAATAAACAAATCCTAAGAAGAGAAAAAAAGAGCTGGAGCTGGTGACCGTGAGCGTGTCGCCGCGGTGCGCGTATCTGCACAGCACACACACCATCTGGAGCGGGTGTGGGAACCAGTAGCAGAGATGAGAGGTACTCTGTGGTCCTGAGAGGAAGTCAGTATATTCCAGGGAAGCGTGACACGTCTCTCATTCGTTAACAGACTGTCTGAGATCTGTCATTTCGTGGACTTTTCCTGATCTGGAAGTGGACAGAAAGACCCACATTCGTGGGAAAGCGATGTGTGGCCTCTTAGAGCACTGCTGTGTGCAGGAAAGACTCCCAGCTGGCCTGACCCTTGTCTCTGGTCAGTTACGTCCTGTGTCCTTGGCCGTAAGTCGAGTGAGCTGATGTTCAGGTGGTTGTGCATCTCTGGAAAGTAGCTGTCCACAGGGTGTATGCCTGACCTCGGTCCAGCAACCTTCCTGCCCGTGCCTTGCCAGGGTGCCCTCGGCGACCTCCCAGGATTTACGCTGATACTGGTCAAGCTACCGTAGCTGCTCCTGCGCAGAGTCCTGCCGTGACCACAGCGCTGTCTGTTGGCCATCTTTGCCTTCTGCTGTTTCAGGGTTGTGTTCTGCTTGTGTTTGAAAGCTTTTGTCCTGGCCTGGAAGCCCAGAAGACCCAGGGAGGGAGGACATTGGAGTTAGTGGGTAAGAAGTCTTGTTTTCCCTCCCTGCCTGCCACAGGCCTGAAAGTGCTCATCCGTGTGGCTCCTGGCATTGCTGAAAATAAAACTCCTCTGCTGGACAGGAAACCCATCAGGTCTGAGGGCTGCAGTCAGGGACACAGGCTGGACCACTTGCTCTGTCACCAGGAGTGTTCTGTTGTGTGAATGCAGAGATGCAGTGACTGGCGGGAGTTCTCCGTAGAGAGTAGTAAGAGGATTTAAACTCTGGCTGAAAAAAATGTTTTTATAGTATCTGCTACCCTGTCCGTCGAGCAGAGTGAGGGAAGCACCTCAACCCCTTTTGTCATTTTGCAAGGCAGCCTCAGGACAGTGTGGTGCTTGGGGACTCACTGCGGGCTGGCTGAGGAGTGACAACATCCTGTCCCTGCCCTGCAGGAGCTTACAGTCAGGAAGGGACATAAATCAGCAAGCGCCTGGCAGGTTCCTGGGCAGAGAGGACATGGCATGCTGTGTAGGATTGTTGGAATAGTGAGTGAGACACACCCATGCAGATCTGGATCAGTAGTAAACAGGTGACTGAGAAATGGAAGGAGCATAATGGAGCTTGCGCAGCAGTGTCTGAGGACGTAGGCGGTGGGAACCAGGGGCCCATCTTCTGAGGGCTGCACCTGCAGCTTAGGGCCATGCCCTCCAGTACAGAGTCCCAGAAGACACTGTCTGATGGACCCAGCCTGGCCACTGTCCACACTGTGGCTTAGGGGGCCTGTTGCCCAAAGGGAGGGTGTGCGCTGGAGAGGCAGTGGGGCCGCCAGGGCTATGTGGAACGGAGCGGACACTTGTTTTGTTGGGACACGGTGTTGAGGTTGTGGTTGGGTTAAGTGGCCCACGTTGGGGTCGCTCAGCTGACGGTGCGTGGACTCACTGGCTTGCCTGCGCTGTTCTCTTGATGCAGTGCGAGCAGTCCCACCTCATGAGGGAGCATGAGGTCGTCCAGGAGCGCACGACACTGCGGTACGAGGAGCGCATCACGGAGCTGCACGGCGTCATTGCCGAGCTCAACAAGAAGATCGACCGCCTGCAGGGCGCCACCATCAGGTACCAGCTGCCTCTGTCTGCCCTCTTCCCCTCCGCGCTGCAACCTGAGCCCCTGGGAGTTGCAGACAGCTTGTGCAGCACCTTCTCCTTGCTTTGTTCATTTGTGTTCACCTGCGTTATTCTCTTCCGACGTCGGCCCCCACGGGAACCCTGGAAGCAGACACAGTGGAAGTTGTGAGCCTCAGTTGACTGATAAGGAAATGAAACCAGAAGCTGAGTGGTGACGTCTAAGTGAAGCCCGTCTGCCTCAGAGACCAGCTTCCCGCTGCGCCCGTTCACCAGCTCGGCTCTCACACTGTAAATCGCAGGCCTCCCTTGCAGATTGTGAGAATGTCATGAGCGTGGCTCATAACTAAATATTATGTAGACTTCTAGGGAATCAAGTAATATTTTGAGCTCACTTCCAGCTGCTTTGCCAACATTGACTTATTCTCTTGTAAGACTCTTCAGGCATGCGGCAAGATTTGATTCATCATTTTACTGCCTTAAAAAAAAAAGAAAACTGGAGCTTAAAAATAGTGAGCAACTGGCTTATGGTTTGCTCAGCAGAGGGCAGAGGTAGAATCAGAACCCAGGATTTCTCTGCCTTTACTTAATTTTCTTTCCATAAAAAGTGGCCATCAGGGATCTTGCCTTCTTGCTTCTCAGTCGGCTCCTGAGTCTCCCAGACACAGTGTGTGCTTTATAGCATCTGCCCTGCTGCTCAGAGGAGGCATTTTTTTTATTTACTAAGCCAAGGATGACAACTTTTGCACTGTCTTAGTGATACGCAGGCTCTGAGGAAAGCAAACTAGGGGACCAGGGTTGTGGTGTAGCAGGTAAAGCTGCCGCCTGTATCACCAGCATCTTGTATGGGTGCCCATGCATGTCCTGGCTGCTCCACTTTTTTTTTTAATATTTATTTATTTATTTATTTGAAAGATACAGAGAAGAATAGGCAGAGAAATAGAGAGAGAGATCTTCCATCCCCTGGTTCACTCCCCAATTGGCTGTAACGTCCGGAGCTGCGCCGATCCGAAGCCAGGAGCCAGGAGCTTCCTCTGGGTCTTCCCAGTCCTTGGGCCATCTTCCACTGCTTTCCCAGGCCATATCAGAGAGCCGGATCAGAAGTGGAGCAGCCAGACTTGAACCGGCACCCATATATGATTCCGGCACTGAAGGTGGCAGCTTTACCCGCTACACCACAGCGCCAGCCCAGCTGCTCCACTTGTGATCCAGCTCCCTGCTAATGGACTAGGAGAAGCAGTGGAAGATGGCCCAAGAGTTTAGGCCCCTGCCATCCACATGGGAGACCCAGATGAGACTCCTGGCTCCTAGCTTTGGTCTGGCCCAGCCCTGGCAATTGTGGCCATTTGGGGAGTGAACCAGCTGATGGAAGATCTCTCTCTGTCTCTAACTCTGGCTTTCAAATAAATAAAATCTTAAAAAAAAAAACAAAACGTTGGCACCTCCTTTCTCTGAGATAAAGGTACTTTGATGAGCACTGTAGGAGCTGCAGTGAAGGCCGGTTTTAGGGGCAGCTGCTCTGAACTTTCCCTGTGGCAGTCCTGGGTCCGAGGAAAGTTTGCGTGCGTTTGTTCCGGCTGAGAGCCACAGTGACAGCGAGGTTTCTGGAGCAGGGTACTGACGGGCATCAGTTTTCTGGGCAAAATTGTGGAAAAGTTTGCTCTGAGCTGGAGCCACACAATGAATTTCATATTCTAATTTAGAACCTCAAGGGTTTGAAATTGTATCCTGGTCTTCATGGTGATTGTAGGTTAGAAATGCATGAACATAGAAGATTTTTCAGCCTGAAGAAGTGATTATACAGATTTAAAGGAGCCTGCCAAGGGATGCTGGCGAATCTGTGATTGTCATTGACACATGCTCCACTTTTAAGCACTCAAGAAGGTGAAAACAAATGGCTCAGTGAGTCGTGAAAAAAATGCATTGACATCACCTGGAAAACAGTTCCAGAATGCGTAATTCGAATGCAGTGACATGTTCCCTCAAGTTAAAATCCACTGAGTGTCTTGACCATAAACATTGATTGTCTTTTATTTAAAGGAAGATTGCATCTGCACAGATGTCACATTAGATTCTGCCAGTTGTCTTTATGTAAATGAGCTGAAAGATGGACAGACATGTGGACCAGTGATGCAAGGCTCTTCTTATCCTCTGAGCTCTGAGGCTAAAGCATTTCCCACCCCCTTCACCCCAGGAGGATGTTGAGGCCTCAGCTCCGATGTGCTGTGATAGACCCACAGTAGTAGAAACCAAGTATCCTGGATGGGAGAATTGGTTGTGACACTCCCCAGGTGCACTGCTCATGTTGTAAGGTCTTTCTTGTCACTTCAATCTAAGTTAGAAATTCATCACAGAAGCTGGAAAAACCATGGTATAGCCAAACCTAAGAAATACTGAATTGCTTAAGGAAAAAAAATGATAATATGATAGTTTTCCCTTTTTTTTAAGATTTATTTATTATTTATTTGAAAGGCAAAGTTACAGAGGCAGAGAGAGGGAGAGGTCTTTCATCCAATGGTTCGCTACCCAAATGGCCGTGACGGCCAGCTGGACCAATCCAAATCCAAGAGCCAGGAGCTTCTTCCAGGTTTACCACATGGGTGCAGGGGCCCAAGGACTTGACCCATCTTCTACTGCTTTCCCAGGCCATAGCAGAGAGCTGGATCAGAAGTGGAGCAGCTGGGACTGGAACCGGTGCTCATATGTGATGCCAACACTGCTGGGGGTGGCGTTACCCACTAAGCACAGCCCCAGCCCCTAATTTTACCTTTTAATCTCTGGTCACAATTGGAGAACCAGGGACCTCCTGTGAGTGCCCTAGAAGACTCCCCATCTATTCTAGCCACGGGGCCAGTGTAGTCCAGAGTCAGATACTGCAGTTGCTCAGTTCAGTGGAGCTGAATTCAAGCCCCATCAGATCTCTGAGGTGAGAAAGTAAACACTGATAGTCAAAGAAGAAACGGTGAGAATTGGGATGGGGCAGGGAGAGACAGCACTCGCAAGCAGGGCTGGTTTCTGGTGAGAGCCCCTGCTGGCACCTTAACCTTGGACACGCAGTTTCCCCAGCTGGGAGGAGCACCCGTCTGTGATTTCAGCTGTGCAGTCTGGCATCGTGATTTGGCAGCCGGAGCCGACTAAAGCACCTTTCTGGAAAATCACCAGTGACTTCTTTTTTTTTTTTTTACTTTTATTTAATGAATATAAATTTCCAAAGTACAGCTTATGGATTACAATGGCTTCCCCCCCACAACTTCCCTCCCACCCGCAACCCTCCCCTTTACTGCTCCCTCTCCCCTTCCATTCACTTTGATTCATTTTCAATTCTCTTTATATACAGAAGATCGGTTTAGCATACATTAAGTAAAGATTTCAACAGTTTGCTCCCACACAGAAACACAAAGTGAAAAATACTGTTTGAGTACTAGTTATAACATTCAATCACAATGTATAGCACATTAAGGACAGAGATCCTACATGAGGAGTAAGTGCACAGTGACTCCTGTTGTTGACTTAACAAATTGACACTCTTGTTTATGGCGTCAGTAATCACCCTAGGCTCTAGTCATGAGTTGCCAAGGCTATGGAAGCCTTTTGAGTTCACTGACTAATCATATTTAGACAAGGTTGTAGTCAAAGTGGAAGTTCTCTCCTCCCTTCAGAGAAAGGTACCTCCTTCTTTGACCTGTTCTTTCCACTGGGATCTCACTCGCGGAGATCTTTCATTTAGGTTTTTTTTTTTTTTTTTTTTTGCCAGAGTGTCTTCTTGACTGAAATGTCCCATGACTTTTTCTCGTTCCTTGTTGGTCCTCTTCTACAGCATTTGACTCTGAGTCCCCTCTCCTTCCTGACATATACTTAAACCTCTGGACCCTGTAGGCCCAAGATCTTTTCCTCTTTCACTGAGATCCATCCTGTCTAAGGCTCTGGTCCTTGTACCTCTCACCTTGAATGACAGCAGCCCCCAATCTCCAGGGCTCCTGCCTCTGAGATCTCACCATGGGCATTCGGCCCTCCCACCTTCTCCTCTGCAAAACAGTGCCCGTTGAGGACAGAGCTGATGCCCAGAGTCTCCGTCTCACAGAACGTCTCTGGCCTCCAGGATCTCAGGTCTGCATCGTGACTTGGATCTCCCCCTTGATCTTCAGGCCCACACCCTCACCTGTGTGCTGCGTCTGAAACGTAGTCTAGCCAAAACCGTTTTATCTCCCAGCACATGGTGTTCTGATTAGTTTATGGATGTACTGGAGTGAAAATGTTTCTCTCTCCCTGTCTCAGGAAGTTTTTGAATGGGAGTCTTACTTCAGCTCTCATGTGGACAAGGATTATATCCAGAGAAGAGCATCTCAAAATCCCGTTTGTAACTTTGTCTCCAGAAGATTCCTAGATGAGTGTGGCGTAGCAAAGAGGAGGTAGACTTGAAGCAAAAATAAGAAGTGTGCTCATCACTTATTTCCTGCACTAGACTCTTTTTTTTTCAATTTTAATTTTTTTAACTTTTATTTAATAAATATAAATCTCCAAAGTACAGCTTTTAGATTACAGTGGCTTCCCCCCGCCATAATTTCCCTCCCACCTGCAACCCTCCCATCTCCTGCTCCCTCTCCCATTCCATTCACATCAAGATTCATTTTCAATTATCTTTATATACAGAAGATCAATTTAGTATATATTAAATAAAGATTTCAACAGTTTACACCCACACAGAAACACAAAGTGTAAAGTACTGTTTGAGTACTAGTTATAGCATTAATTCACATAGAACTCATTAAGGACAGAGATCCTACATGGGGAGTAAGTGCACAGTGACTCCTGTTGTTGATTTAACAATTGACACTCTTACTTATTGTCACTCCCCGTCTTCGTGGAGGAACGACACAGGACCCTGCGTTGTTCTTTTGTGTGCTCGGCCCTCCCCAGGTTTGCTGCTAGTTCTTCCCGGGTTGGCTACCGACCCTTCCACCTCCGTGGAAGGGCGGTACCTCCTGCCACTCTCC